ACCCAGCTAAAAAGGGTAAGTAAACAATTAACCTTTCTAATAACTAAAGCCCACACTTAAATTGCGCTTTGCGCTTAAAGCCCCAATGGACCTAGAGTGCTTTTTAGAGTTTTTCGCCTTTGACAACACTGATTGGGAATTTCAAATATAATTCGTGATGGGCTATACATTGGACCTTTTGATGACCGTTCTTTCACACTTTAGCAATAAGCACCAATTTTACCTCAGTCCTCTTCAATTACATTTTTCTTTTTCTTTTTTTCTTTTTGATAAAAAGCAAATGAAATATGTCAGATATTCTTTTTTACATTTTTCCTTTTATTTAAAGCTTATAGAAATATTTGTCTCATTAGAAAATTCATTGAGGAATCATGTGCTTAATGCACGTGTATGATGGTCCTATAGCATGCCAAATCGTGTTTATGAACTTGACAGCAAATGTGTGTCCTTTTTGGCTCTTAGTTATTGCTGGAATCTTTTCTTATCGAAGGACTGCTTTTATTTTCCAGCTTGTAATGTCCAGACGCCGAATTCCATGCCTGGATTCATACTTAGACAAGGTATGTATCATCTATTCACTTTACCACCTAAGTCACCAGCATCAATGGCAATTACACATGCATGTGGGATACTTGTGTCTAAACGAACTTAAAGGATTTGGCAGTTGTTAATTTCATCAGATACTTATTTTTCACCTGTTGCCTTCTATTACGGTGATGTTTGTCCTTGTTGTTGTTTCCCATTTGTTATTACTGTGATGTGGAAAAAGAATAATTGCACAAGCATAGCTGGGACATGCAGGATTTCATGTGCTGAAAGTATATAATATTATGAATTTGGGGTATAAAGTTTCATCTTGGGACACATGGTGTTTGGCAGGACTTACATAGCATCAGTAAAACGAGAAAATTAAACAGCTTACTGATAGAATATGGTCAGGTGGACCATTTTAAAACGAGGAAGAAGAAATTAGGATTCATAATTCTAGAAAGGTTAAAAAGGTGAATATAAATGTGCCACAACTCCTTAAGGTCTTTTAGAAAGTTTAACATGATGTTGGGACCAAAAGAAAATTAAAGATAAAATGTTTTCTCCTAGTTATCTTGCCTTTACAATGGACTGCGTTCCACTTGTTTCTTAATGAATCTGGGCAGGTCAATATTGCTTTATGGCCACGTTTCAAGATGGTCTTTGACTTGCACCTCAACAGCCTGCGAAATGCCAATATCAGGACTCTCTGGGAAGATGATGTTCACCCACATTATGTCATAAGGCGCTATGCTGAGTTTACTGCCTCCCTTATTCACCTTAATGTAGAATATGGAGATGGGCAGGTTGGAGAACATGAAGGTCCACTTTTTACTTCATGGTTTACTTGCACCAAATTTTCTTTCATGCTGGCTGCTAATTTTTGTAGCTTGAANTACCTCATGGTTTACTTGCACCAAACTGGCTTTCATGCTGGCTGCTAATTTTTGTAGCTTGAACTGAATCTGGAGAGACTCAGAATGGCTGTTGATGACTCGCTTGTCAAGCTAGCACAAATGTTCGCTAAACAAAAGCAGCAAACCGTATTCCTTATAAACAACTACGACATGACAATATCGGTTCTGAAGGTAAGAAGTTACTATATTTTCCTTTTCTTTGATCAACAGGAAATGAGTCATGAAAAGTGCAAGTCATTGTCGTGAATTTATATGGGTAATGCTCATGTATTAGTTGGATAAATTTCCAATGAAAAGAAAGATGAATTGTAAGGAAATTGGGGGTCTATCAGACCATTTCCCTGGCCTCCTTGTCTGTCAAATGAAAAGAGATATCAAAGTCATGATTCCTGTTCTTATTACATTGCAAATCTGGATAGTGGCATGTCACTGGCACTAATTCCTTTAGTCTGAAATTTTGCAAACCATCAAATTGTAACTGTTACAGTATTGACTAATTGCTATCTGAACATTTGATACCATTGTTAGCAGATTTTACATAATTTGGAAGTCTAATTTATAAATTTTATACTATTATTTACTGCTAAAGACTTAAAAGACCAAGCAATCTTCATTTGCTTTCAGGAAGCTGGTCCAGATGGGGGGAAGATCCAGCAGCACTTTGAAGAGCTTCTAAAGAATAACACATCCATATTCGTGGTGAGCACACACATCAATTCTTGCAATCCAAGAATGTTTGAATTGGTTGTAGTTATATTTCTCTGATGATGATATCAGTTGAGCTTAAAGAAAGAAGTGAGGATTCATATCGCCGACCCCAATTTTGTTTGGGACTGAGGCGCAGTATATTTCTCTGACAAAAATGAACCTGACTTCTATTATTGCTTTGACTATCAGTTAGGTGCTAAAGTAGACTTAGTGATCTGTTGAAAATAAAATCCATTATGTCCTTCCAGAAAACATCAGTTTTACTGTTTCAATCTATTTCAAAGCTGATGTTTTTTTTTCCCATCTCAAAAAAAAAAAACATCAGCTTTGAAATAGATTGAACCAGTAACACAGTTCATCTATATTTGTTGTTGGATACTTGATTTACCGAGAAAATATTTGGTCTTGATTGCAATCACAAATAGTGGATACCTTTTCCTAGATGAGTTTCCTTATTGTGGATGGCATAAGTAGGATTTCTAATCAACCCTTCTAATATGTAGGAGATTTCTTGAACAATTTTCATGTCAAGCCTGTTTTACCTGATTCTACAATCGATATTCGAGCATTTTACAATCATAAACTAAAGTTGAAGGGTTTGTTCTTTTGTTTGATTTTATTGCAGGAAGAATTGCTATTGGAACATTTTAGCGATCTTATCAAGTTTGTAAAGACGAGAGGGTGTAAGTGTTAACTATATGCATATCAATTTATCTCCAACATTCTCAGATGCCCTGAATATTATTTATTGCAGCTGAGGATCCAAGTATTGGCACTGAAAGGCCTATAACTATTGCTGAAGTCGAGCCGATTGTAAAGGACTTTGCAAGCAGATGGAAAGCCGCAATTGAACTTATGCACAATGATGTCATTACTTCTTTCAGCAATTTCCTGTGTGGAATGGACATTCTAAGAGCTGCATTAACTCAACTTCTTCTTTATTATACGAGGCTTTCAGATTGTATAAAGAGGATAAATGGTGGGTCTACATTGAACAAAGATCTTGTTTCAATTTCATCCATAGTGTATGAGATCAGAAAATACTCAAGGACTTTCTAGGACATTATTCTATTTTCGTGTTCGTTTTACAGTCTCTTTTGCTTCTTTTTTTTCTTGTTCTGTTTAGTCTCTTGAATCTCTGTATTTGCGTGTAAAGAGTTTCAGTTGACCATTACATTGTTATTCAACTGACATTTTGTAAGATCTTATGTGTTTCAATGACATCTTCTAAATATAGGTAATCCTTATGATATTCTTGATTTTCTGTTCCGTGAATTTTTTTATTTTGTGCCTCACATAACTGACATTAGTTATGCAAGGCTTTGTTTTATCTCACAACAAAATTGTCTCACACAAGTAGTGTCAGTTGTGTGATATTCCCGTTTTTCATTCTCTTTTCTATTCGTTAAAGCCGAGAGTCTATCAGAAATAGTCTCTCTATGAGGTAGGGGTAAGGTCTGCTACGCACTACTCTCCCCAGACCCCATTTATGAGATCAAACTTTTTTTTTTTTTTTTGTTGTTGTTGTTGTTGTTGTTGTTTTCTGTTCGTTAAAAAGTTAGTATAGTCTAGGTTCATAGTCCAAACTTCATCTTTTCTGATTCAACAACTCATTTTGACAAAAGAATCTCTTACTCTAAGCTTTTTCACCTATAAAACGAAAACAGAAAAGATTAAGGGTGTGTTTGGTACGAAGGAATTTTTTTTTCAATTTTTTCATGTTTGGTTGGCTTAAATATTTTGGAAAACATTTTCCTTATGAACTCCTTTTGGAAGAAAAATATTTTCCTTATCAAGAGAAGGGAAAATATTTTCCAAAACTCCTTCTCAACTTTCCCCATCCTCACCAACCCACCTTACCCCCTCTCCAAAAAAAAGGTTTTTTTTNATCTACAAACTGGGTACATTGAATTTTAATATCCCAATTCCCATTCGATTGTAGCATAATTGGCATTTTCGACGTAATTGCGTTTTTTGCAGAAGATTTGTAGAAGTTTTAGTCATTTTTGATTTGTGAAAACAGAAAACAAAGCATCTACAATCAGAATACAAATAATCTACAATTTATCTACAAAATATCTACAAACTGGGTACATTAAATTTTTATATCCCAATTCCCATCCAATTGTAGCATAATTGTGATTTTTGACATAATTCCGTTTTTTTCAGAAGATTTGTAGGAGTTTTAGCCGTTTTTTATTTGTGAAAAACGAAAATAAAGCATCTACAAACAGAATACAAATAATCTACAATTTATCTACAATTTATGCAATATGACTTCTTCTTCTTCTTCTTCTTCTTCTTCTTCTTCTTCTTCTTCTTCTTCTTCTTCTTCTTCTTCTTCTTCTTCTTCGAGTTTCAATCTGAAATTCAGTCAAAACCAAGACTAATTTTCACCAAAACCCCTCAAAATTGAGATATAAACTCCAAACCATATTCCCGATTATTTTCAACAACACCCAATCCAAACAAATAATGATTTTTGAAAACCCAAATTTGAATTCAAAGCTTTTAAGCTTTTTAATGGCTATCAATGGTGGAAAATATCTGGAAGAATATTTACTTCCATAATTGTAGCGCGCCTAAATAGGAATATCTGGAAGAATATGATTTGATCTGATTTACGCCAAATCTTTTTAGAATATTCTGTTCCTCAATTTTAGCTCGACAAATTAGGAATATTCAGCTACTATTAATTAATATTTAATGATTGGTATAATAACTGTAGAAAAAATGTGGACAGAACGGGTAAATTAGAAACTATGCACATTTTTGGTAATAAGGTTTCATATATGGTATAGGAAAGAAAAAATCTCTATTATATAATGGCTATAAAACTTAGTAGAAATGGCATGGGGTAGTCACTATTTAAGGTGGTATTTATTTTTTATCCAGCAATTCTAATGTTGAGCAAAAATAGCCACTATTCTATTAAAATTAATATGAAAAGATATTTTTACACTTTCTTCCCTTGCTTTTCTTCCCAAACCCTCGCTTCTCTCTCTGCGTGCCTTCTCCATAATCCAAAATGAATGTTTGTCTTCCTCACAATCGAGTAAATTTTTATACAAATTTATTACCAGCACGTATTCTTTCACTGATGGAATATATCAATACACGATTCCTGAGATAGGCCGCCAACCCACCAAGTATTGACTAATTGAGAGCGTGCACAAATGTAGTCTTGTAGAAGAAACGATTGTAACTTTAGTAGTAATGACTTTTGGACTTATTTTTCGTTCTCGACACAATATTCAGATCAACACCAACAAACACCTTCAAAAACGTTTGCTCATCCTACTACCGAAACGTCCACAGCAAAAAATGCATCAATCTAGAATGACTATGCTTACAATTACAATATTGATTCTTTTCCTATTACTTTATTGATCCTTCAGTAAAATGATGGTTACTAGGAGGAGATGCTTCCCCTTAAACAGTGAAAAGGTGGTTGATCTTGAGTTTTAGCATCCTGAACGTAGACTAACAAGCTCAAAAGTTAAGGATAATAAGTCCTGAACTTACAGTTACAAGTTTAAAAGTTAAAGACAATAGGTTCTGAAGTCCTGAACTTAGACTAACAAGCTCAAAAGTTAAGGACAATAGGTCCTGAACTTAGGCTAAGAAGCCCAAAAGTTAAGGACAATAGGTCCTGAACTTAGGCTAAGAAGCCCAAAAGTTAAGGACAATATGTCCTGAACTTAGACTAACAAGCTCTAAAGTTAAGGACACTTGGTCCTGAACTTACAGTTACAAGTTCAAAAGTTAAGGACATGTAGTCCTGAAGCCCTGAAGTTAAGTTCAAAAGTTAAGGACATGTAGTCCTAAAGCCCTGAAGTTATGTTCAACAGTTAAGAACATGTAGTTCTGAAGTCCTTAACTTAGAGTTCCAAGTTCAAAAGTTAAGGACATGTAGTCCTGAACTTAGAGTTCCAAGTTCAAAAGTTAATGACATGTAGTCCTGAAGTCCTGAAGTTAAGTTCAAAAATTAAGGACATGAGCAGAAGGGTATTTTCGTCCAGGCAGTTAAAGTTTATTAAAGCAGTGGCTAACTAAAGACATTTTAAACAATGGCTTAAAAGTAAATACATGTGTTATTAGTGGCTAACCGTGCACTTCCCCATAAAACTTATTGGAAGTTGGGAACATTTAAAAGTTCTAAGTCCAACCTTGAAATAATATCTTAAAAGATAAAATTATGAAAAAGTTTAAGAAATATTTATAAATTACATCACAATAAGTATATTTATATATTAAATATATCTAAAATTTCTATATATGTAATGTCAGGTTGGTTTGGTTTCGGTTTGATTTTCTTTAGTTAAAACCAAATCCAACCAAACCAATTATGATCGATTTTTTTTTTCAACACCAAACCAAATCAAACCAAACCATAGTCGAGTTTTTTTCTCGGTTTGACTTGAATTATCGGGTTGGTGCGGTTTGTTGGTTTCCTTTGTACACCCCTAACTGCTGGTCAGCTAAACCTTATAAGTATTTTAAAAGGTGTACAAAGATCGATCATTACTCGTATCTTTAAAAAAATTGCACTTAGAAAAAATTCATTCTTTTAGATAGATTCACGGTTTAATCCCATTAGAAGTTTGGACCCATTTTGAAGCAGAATTATTTAAGACAAGAGGGGCACTTCCAGTCAAGAGGTCATGAGTTCGAGTCTCCCAAAAAGAGATGTCGAGTTTCTATTTAAAAACAGTCTCTCTACCCTAAGGTAGGGTTAAGTTTTGCGTACACACTATACTCCCCAGACCCCATTAAGTGAGATTATACTGGATTGTTATTGTTGTTGTAATTATTTACGTACAAAAAAAGAATTGTTTTTTCAGTTATTTGGGTCATCCCCTTCTATCCATTCCTGTACTCTCAAATGGCAGTCTCATCCATAGCCAATCTCTTCTCCTTCTTCACTCCCNCCTCCCCATTTTTTTAAAAATATATTTTTCAGTTTTAGTTTTTTTATTTATCGTTTTAAAGGCACAAAATTTTACAAGTTCCAAAATTATGAATTCGGAGGTTTATATGTTTGGAAGTTTACGGGTTTAGAAATTATAAAGTTTACGGGTTCAAAATTCCGCGGTTTTGAAAGTTTAGCGGTTCGAAGGTTTATGAAATTTGAGGGCCCGGAAGATTGTTGGTTTGAAAGTTTATGGCTTCAGGTTTATTATATCTAAATTATTTATAAATACTCTTGAGAAGTCATATTCCTTAATTTGCGTACCAAACACCAGAAAATGAATAAGATTACTACTTGTTTCCAAGAAAATATTTTCTTGGAAAATATTTTTCACGGAAAACATTTTCTGTTATACCAAACACACCCTAAAAAGTAAATTATTGCTTGAGGTGTGTAAGTCTGTAAGATTATGAATTAGCAGTAATTTATTACTACTAGTAGAGATGTACATAGATCGAGTTGGTTCGGATTTTATAATTACTAAACCAAACCAATTGTATCGGGTTATTAAATCTAAATACCAAATCAAACCAATAAAATTCGGGTTTTTCAATCTCGATTTTTCTCGGATTTTCGGGTTATTCGGATTTTTTTCCGGTAAAATCTTCATAGCACAAAACATATAACTTGTGCTCAAAATATTTCTTTAATCCTAGTAAGATATAATTATATAAGGCATTTTCCAAGAAAATAATACAAAATATGAGATGTGTCATGGCATTATCCTAAAATATTCAACAATAAAGACAATAAAATTATGTAATATAAATATTGCTAATTAAAAAGCCATAATAAAAATAAAAATAATCTAAAAGTACTAAGTCATGCTAAAATAAGTAGACTAATAAGGGAGTATTAATTACATGACTAAACGCTAAAGAAAAAATAAAATTAGATTATGCATTTTTATCTAAATAATTGCAAAACAAAAAATAGATATTCAATACATTTACGTTCATAGTATTGAATTGAATATTTTTGTTTGCATTAGTATTGATTTGATTTTGGTTTGGGCTTTTGTTAGCATTATTTAAGTTACTAATATTATATAGGAATTTTTACATTCCTATGCCACATATGAAACCTTATTACCCTCAATGTTTAATGTTTGACTTAATTACACTTAGTATACCAAATTACTAATTCTATACCATAATTAATTAAGGGTATAATTAATTGTACATTTTTTACTCCTTAATTAAAGGAATCTGCACGTTTCTCTCTCCTAACCCCTTAGTCCCACCCACGTTTTACCCATACCCACGTTCTTTTTACTATTTTTCATCTTCTGAAACCAAATTCTCCCTCTAAATTCACAGAAAATTGAAGAAACCCTTCAACAAAGTCGGTTCCCCATTTTACTCCAGTTGAAGTTCATCAATGAAGAACAACAAAGTTCATCAAAATTGAAGTCAAATCTTCAAAGTTCATACACACATTTACCTTCAGCTTCAAATTTTCTCAATGAAGAAGAACAAACCTTCAAAGAGACAAGAGAGCAGCAATTCCACCATTGA